ATTTGGGTCAGTGAACAATGTACATGTTAGTAAAGAATAACACTCTTTGTTTCTTACAATGAGGAAAATGTGATCTATGCCACTATAATGATTCTTATCTATTCAATTGTTTGTTACAGCATTATTTGAAGTAATTGGTACATAAAGCTACTTTGCAGATATCACACTGGAAATTTGTTTCTCTTTATTATCTTTTGCGATAAGTGAACAGCTCAATGTTTTCGCGAGCATTTCAAGTTATTTAAATCCCGAAGAATTATCTATACACTAATAATGCAAATGGTTTAAAATATGTTCAACTGCATTACGAAGGCTGAAATACGAGATCTATTCACAAACTCCACTAATTCGACGCGTATGCGTTGTACATGATGCGACTCGCGAATACACTTTTGAAGGATCAATCAGGTTAATTATATCGCGCAGCGGCCACAGTTCTGACCATTATCATCTGTTAATCGATCGATTTCGAATTAGGGGTCACGACTCTTCCGGATATGTTGTAGTTACGTTATTAGTCAATACGGTGCTATTACGGTCGAATCGACGTGGTACATTTGCCTCATAAAGGAGAAACTAGCGGCTGACAGGCAGTTATATACCACAAATTGGCCCGCGTTCAAGTTGGGACCGAAACAATATGCCGGAAACACGCACGCGAGATCATCCAACGACACGATCAACATCCCCGCACATTTCGCCGTTGATCCCTACGCAGAATAGAAAGCAGGACAATTTCTCTCTATTCGGCAAATCTTTTTTCCCCTATATTCGCAATTTCATGACGATCACCCCGTTTCCGGATCGGACCAATTCCTCCGTTTCTTCTCCATCTTCCGACCCTTCTCCTGTGTTTCTTCCATATCGCTGCCTCGCACACGGGAAATATCATTTTTTTTCGGCACCAATACAGCTATTTATCGCCGAACTTTGCATGGTATTGCAGGATCTGGATCCTATGCATCCTAAGGGGGTGTTTCGCGGAATTCCTCTGTCATGAGGAATAGTCTACGATCGAGGCGGTAAGACAAGATATATAAATTTTATTTTATTCAGGAGATTCTATCTCTATAAAGAGTTTATTATGCGAACCGAGAAACAAAGTAAGAAAGTATTCGAAATAAGCCTTTCGAGACGGAATACAACAGTTTTATAATTGGGTCAGGCGATCTAAATTTGTTTGAGATGTTAGAACGATTAGTTTCACTAGATTATTGCTAGGAAATAGAACTCTCTTTTTTTAACTCTTTTATCTGAACCTATAATAAAAATTTTAAAAATGCGTTTCGTAGATTTCGATTATACATGCTTCCTTTGACAATATTGAACTAAAGTAAAAAAATTCGGAAAACGATGTATTTACTGCACAGAATATCATGAATGAATTGATTGCGAATTTTATTTTTTGCATTTACGGCAAAATTGGGTAGTTACAATTTAAAATAGTGTAAATATTAAAAGCATTTTGAAACGTGAATGTATTGTTTTTAATATATTAAGATGATTGAAGGAAGGATGAACTTTTTAGGTAGTTGCTATTTCTTGCAATTGATGAATAAAGAAATGCATAAAAATCAGCAGTCTAACGATGAATTTTTGATGCAGCTACATTCGATTAAATGTTTGCATTTTGATATGCATAAATATTTATTCTATATAATATACTAATACATTGCATATATAATACAATAGTAATATAGTATATATATACTAATTATATATATTTAGTACAATACTAAAATATATTGTACATAACCTTGACAATCGCGTGAAGTAATAGGTTTTTCAGTTGGTAACGGTGAGCGTGCTAGAAGTTGAGCACAATTAGGTCAGAAAGCTGTTTCTTTTTAAATCTCCCCGGAAGATTTGCATAACACTGTGAAACAAGAATGTTTACGACGTTATTTAATCTCTTTTTCCTGTGCATTAGTCTGTCGTGCATTTTTCCCCCGCATTGTAAATATTTTGTATGCCTTTATGTCGTCGTTTGTGATAAACCATAACGTGTTTGTTATTCAAATTTCATGTTGAAGATGTTCCAAACTGATTTGATGGTTGTTTCGTCAATTGAGGATATACATTGATCTTTTAATGATTCTTTTCAACGTGATATTTCTTAATCAAAAACATGCTCTAAATTTCGAAAGAACGATGATGACAATTGTGTAACATGCATTTCTGCAGGCTGTGATTAATTAAAATCGTAATGGCGTAAATCATATTTTCAATATCAAGTGTTGAAATGTAGTTCACAGATGCCAAAATGTTTAAAAAGGAAATGAAATAAGTTATAACCGAGCTATAAATTAACTCCGCCATAAATTAAATTAACTACAAATAAACTCAACTATAAATTTGATTAGTCAGCAATAAACATGCCGAAGTATTATAAAGACAAATGAAATAAACTCAATTACAAATTTAGCTGGTGAACGAGCATTCCATGTTTCTCATAATGAAAATCTGACTTACACTGCTATAATTTTTACCTTCTTCTAGAATGATGATTTAATTGAATATTAAGTTCAATCAAAAGTCTCTAACTTAACTAAACAACTGAAGATATATCGCAACAGGAAGCATGTAACCCTAATCTTTTGAGTATAGTATACAAAAGATTTCCGATTATAAATAAATAGACGCGTAAATAAGAGGAGAAGAATTAAAGAGATTATATAATAAATTGCAGAAAGTTACTGCACAAAATTATTTCAAGAAATTAAAATATTCATTTCGTTGATGTCTGTGGATTTTATGCATTCATTACAAAAATGTCTAGTTGCTGTTTAACACAGCAAAAATATTAAACCAATTGAAGAGCAACGAAGTATTATTTACGACTTATTAAAGTCATCGAATAAGCAAATAAACGTCCAAGTGGATCTTATTTCTTGCAAATGATGCGAAAAGTTCTTATTTTCCATAAAAATCCGCGGTCTATTGATAAGTTAGCGCGTCACATCGTTGTGCAAGTTAGTGCCTTATTAATATCGTAGCTTTCAAACCTGAGTTTTGCTAGCGAAGGAGATACTTGCGGAATGCAATGAACTTAGAGTTTCGTACTTGAGGTTATTCTGTTTAATGGTTCGCGCGTGTTAGAAATTTCCATGTTGCTTGTAACCAGAGTAAGTTTTGAAATTGGGGCGGGCAGAAAGTTCCTTGGCCGGTGCAACAGAGAAAACTAGTATGACAATTGGAATTTTAGCTTAACGATTTTTCAGCGATACCGTCCTTTGCTTCCTCGACTAAAATGCACTGGCGTGCGGGTTTAATAATTAAATATTTTCCTCCCGCTTCATTTGGCCGTTCTCATTACTTTCCAATGAAATATGGTAATCACCGAATTAATATTTAACGAGCAATTTCAAAGTAAAATTTGGGATCGGAATGCATCCGATTATGATAAATTCGCTGATTAATTCTTACAAGGAAATGCGTCAGAGAACGGAATTTCAGCAAAAATATCGAACGCGATCTCGAATATTCGATATCGAAGAACGCGTAGTAATGAATTCGCGCCGGCTAATTGGCATAGAACTGCGCCGATAGTGTCGACGGGAGCATGCGATTCTTGCTATGCGACAGAGACACGGTGACATTCGAGAAAATGTTTGCCATTTCTTCCGGGCGGATTTTCGCGAATCAGCAAAAGGTCTCGCTGTTAATTAAACTCGTTGCCGAGAATACAATTATCTACACAACAATCGTGAAAATTAATTAAGAACCGTTCGGTCGATAGAACGGTATTCCTGTCAAAAATTTCAAGTCCTTTAATGTTAATTAACTTAATTGGACTGTGCCGGCCACTTCCGTAGCGTTGCGTCGCGTCGCGTCTTCCTTTATTGCAAATCAGCTTGCAGCGTAAATTGGATAGACCTTCTGACGATACAACGTGGACACAAGCTTTCGTTAATTTCCAATTAAACGCGATCTTATCTCTAGCTTCAATGAAACAAGTCCGTGTCAGAAACGACTGCAAGGAAAACAAACTATTCGCTGCTTCCTGAGATTACAAGTGCTCGCTCCCGCAATCAGTATTCTAACTTTATTGCTTGACTATCGTTGCAGCTAAAAATAAAAACACCGAGTCAGAACGTTATATCTTTCTAACGTGCATTTTTTAAATTATTTATACAGTGTGGCCGGTTTAAATGTAAAATTTATACAAATAATGTAAGAATTCTTCGTAACACGTAATTTTTTAATTATTTATACAGTGTGCCCCGTTTAAAAGATGATATTAAAAGAAATTTGCACTGTAAAATACAGAAAATGAAACAAACATTAATGTTTAGAGACACGGAATCTCTATCCGAATAATTTGTTTGGGTAAAACAAATATTCGAATATTAATAAATATTCGACTACAAAGAAGTCATTCGAATAATTGTTTTAGACAAACATCTATTCGAAACAATTCGAATAATGTCAAACTTTGATTTATAGCATGAAGGAGATCAAAAGTTCAAATTATTAAAATTACGAAACGATTCAAAATCTATCGAGCAATTAAACTCGTACAATCTGCCTGAGTCGTTCCACACTGAAAATTCGGATACACGTGTAATGCCGTGCGCATCGTTGAATTATTTACTAATTTTGTTACCATGATTTGCATATTTTATTACAAACGTTATCTTATTTTAAATACATACGAATTAACACATTTATTTCCCGTGCTAAATGTTACGAACGTTTCACTTTAATGGCTCCCTATTATTGTATAAATACCAAACGAGGCCCGCGTACAATCTCACGAAAAGAGAACAAGCATGACTGCGAAAATAGATGCAGACCAATTGTTTCAAAACAGTGAAATTCCCTGACGTTCGCGAAATTCGTCCACAAAGCTTGCGATTCGTTTGACGGCAGGTTAACGGAAACGATTATAATATTTCTGTATTTTCTATCTCGTGCTCGCAGACAATCCCTTTCAGATTCGATAAAACGACGTAAAGGACTGTTTCGAAGCACGATACAACATTCTGAGCTCGTCTTACCCTTTCCCGACACAGCTGAAGAAATCCTTTCATCCCTGTTGCCTCGGTTCGACTCGCTGTGTTTATTCTGCAGGATGCAAGCACCTGAAACAAAAAGTAAGAGCAACGTCAACCTCCGAATAAGGGCAGAGAAAAGAGATAGAGGTAGAGAGAGAGATAGAGGTAGAGAGAGAGAGAGAGAGAGAGAGAGAGAGAGAGAAAAGAAGAAGAAGAAGAAGAAGATGAAGAAGAAGAAGAAGCTAACAAAATTCCTATCGTTTACCGGTTCGCGAGGAACGGACAACAAAATACCGTCACATTCAAATTTCATATTTATTTTTGTTCCGGCTGCTCGAAAACGGAAACAATGAAACAAATCTGCTTATCCTCCGACATTCCGTATTCCCCTCGCTGCTGTTATATTCATCCTTCGAGATGCTCCCACTAAAGAGCAAAGGCGATACTAAGCCTTACTTTATTCAAATCATGAGGGAACGTGCTCTTTGTTACTGGCCGGCTTCCGAAGTTCCCTTTTATCTCTATTTCATCCCCTCGCTCTATTCCCACTGAATAACTTACAATCGAAGCTGTTTGCGCGCATATCATATTACTTCTTTGAAGATCTATACGAGAGTGGCCCTTAGCTGTAGGGGTCAATATTTTTGCTCCGAGATTTTTTCGGTCTTACTCCTCTGAATAGTGACGCTTAGAGAGGAAATGGTGTAAACATTTATATTGATTCTGTTGAAATTTTAGCCTCGAACAAAAATTAATCTATAGTTTACTTAGTACTAAGGTACTAAGATATCGGTTTACATTTTCGCCGGTTCCGTCAGCGGGCAACGACGGTGATGTAAACTGTATATAGTAGATACCGCGATACATCATCATCGGTACCATTAGATATACTACTGTGATCAAAAAGTAAGGTGAAATTGTCATTTAAAACTCCCGGACATTAGGAAGGCAGGCAATTGTTTTTTTCCTAGGTTGGTAGGACTGTCTATAACAATTGCCAAGCGTCTGTTTGTTAAAAGGTTTAATTATCTCCGAGTTACACGTGTTTTAGTAAACGACCAAAAGTGAATTTTTCGATTTTTACAATGGGTGATTTTGTTGAGCAAAGAACTTGCATCAAATTTTGTTTGTGGAACGAATATTCTTGTGCGGACACGTTGAAAATGTTACGGAAGGCCTTTGGTGATCAAACTATGGCACAAAAAAACGTTTATAAGTGGTACAACGAGTTCAAAGCGGGCCGAGAACGCGTTGAAGACGAACCGCGCTCTGGACGACCA